GCATTGGTCGGCCAGCGCCTTCAGCACGCGCGGCGTGGACTCGGGCCGCGGGCCGTCGTCGAAGGTCAGCACGATCTCGCCCGGCGCCAGCGTCGGCAGCGCGGCATGCTGCGCCGTGCCCCAGGCCGCGCCTTCGCGCTTGAGCGTCAGCGTGCGGGACGTGCCGAGCGCGTCGGCACCGCAGGCGGGCTCGGCGGCGGTGGCCGTGGTGGTGGCGGTCGCGATGGCCATCGTGAGCAGCAGCTTGATCATCAATGACCCCCAGCCGGCACGGCGTCGCCGCTGACTTCGGCGGCTTCGTCGTGGTCGTGCGGGAAGGGTGCCAGCCACGCCAGGATCACCGGCGGCACGGAGAACACCAGCACCCAGCCGAAGAAGCTCACGTAGTTGTGCTCCACGCCGTTCCACAGCAGCGCGCTGACGCTGCCGGTGCTCCACTTGGTGAGCGCCATGACGCCGGTGGCCATCGCGTAGTGGGCCATGCGGAAGGGGCCGGGGGCGATCTGCTGCATCATGTAGAGCATGTGGCCCACCGAGCCCATGCCGAAGCCGAACTTCTCGATGGAGACGATGACGGCGATGGTCAGCGTGTCCGTCGGCATCGACTGCGCCAGGTAGAAATAGGTCAGGTGCGGGATGTTGAGCACCAGGGCCAGCGTGAAGAAGCTGCGCGGCAGCGTGCGCTTGGCGACAAGGAAGCCGCCCAGGAAGGCGCCGGCGATGAAGGTCAGCGTGCCGACGGTGCCGTTGATGTGGCCCAGCGCCTCGTTGTCCATGCCCAGGCCGCCGTTGGCGGTGGCGTCGAGCAGGAAGAGCGGGCCGAACTTCTCGATGAAGCCCTCGCCGAAGCGATAGAAGAAGATGACGGCCAGCATCATCCAGATCTGCGGCTTCTTGAAGAAGGTGACCCAGGCCTCGCGCGTGGCGGTGTAGCCGCCGCTCAGGCCCTGGCCCTGCAGCGTGGACGGCGCACCGGGCGGCAGCACCCGCACATGCCACAGGCCGAAGGCGGCCATGGCGGCGGCGGCGAGCGACACGACGATGACCCAGCACTCCACCCAGCTCATGCCCATGTGGTTGTGCAGGTAGCCGGTCAGCGACACGAACAGGCCGGAGGCGACGACGGCACCCATGTTCCAGCACATGCCCTGCAGGCCGGCGTAGCGCGCCTGGTCGCGCTTGGAGACGGTCGTCATGAAGACGCCGTCGGCACAAGTGTCCTGCGTCGCCGACGCGAAGCCGACGAGCCAGAAGAAGGCCAGCGAGAGCTTGAAGAAGCCGTCCAGCGGCAGGCACAGCGCCACGAGGCCGAGCCCGGCGGCCATCGTGAACTCCATGCTGATGACCCAGAAGCGCTTGCTGCGGTAGGCCTCCAGCAGCGGCGCCCACAGCGGCTTGAGCACCCAGGGCAGGTACATCTGCGAGGTGTAGAGCGCGATGTCCTCGTTGGAGACGCCGAGGTTCTTGTAGATGATGGCCGCGACGACGCCGACCATCACGTTGGGCAGGCCCATGGCGAGGTAGAGCGAGGGCACCCAGGTGAGCGGATGGCGGATGGACTGGGTCATGGGGAAGTGGCCTTCTCGGTGCCGTTGAGCAGGGCGAGGACGTCGGTGGCCTCGCAGTTGGATTGCAGGGCCTGCAGCGCGGCGCGGGCGCGGGCGCCGTTCTCGCCGGGCAGGTTGGCGGCCAGCGCACGCAGGCCACGCAAAGCCTTGGCGCGGTCGCCGGCCTGCAGGTGGACTTGCACGGCCAGCGTGTCGTATTCGGTGACGAGCGGCTCCAGCACGCTGGCGGATTCGGCCGCATTGCTAAGGCTGGCGCTAGGCCCGCCGTGCTGCAGCACGCGGGCGAGTTGGTAGAGCGTCGGGGCGTCGTCGCGGCGCTGCTTGTGGGCGCTGATGAGGAAGCTGCGCGCCTGCTGCAGCGCGACGTCCCGGTCCGCGCCCTGTACGCGCTCGGCTTCGGCCTGCCAGGCCCAGCCCAGCAGGCGGTTGGCCTCGAAGGGCGGTGCGTCCTGCTGGGCCCAGGGTGCCAGCAGCAGCAAGGCCTGCTCGGGGCTGCCATAGCGAATCTCGGCATGGGCCAGCGCCCAGCGCA